AAAATTTTAAAAAAATACGAAATACGTCTAATCAGGGATGACGCGAGGGAGGGGGGGCAATAGGAGTAGTTGCCCAAGGCCCTGTGCCTTAAACTATGATTAAGGCCCCGCGGTTCTGATTTAACTGAACTTAAAATATTATATTAATAGAAATTATAAGACCCAAAATGTATTTTGCCCAGGGCCTCGTAAATTCTAGCACCGTCACTGCGGCGTCTAATCACCATGGTCAGGTTCGATATTGTAACATCGTTCATGTTAACGCAAATCCTTCGCCTCCAGGCTCCGGTCATATAACCGTAGTTACAACAATAACAATACTAATAACCAGTGCTCGAATTGGGAAAAATTAAGTAGAGGAGCCAGTCCAACGATTCGAAAACTGCGTTCCACGTGCGCAATTATTTAACACAGACCCGTAGGGGGCTTCGTCCCCCACCCCTACCCACCGCCAACCTTTCAAATATTTTGAATACCACATTTCAGCTAAACAAATATTTTAATTCCAAATATAATATATTATGATAGCAATACCAATATCCTACATATTACAATAAAAAATAAAAATAAAATAATAATTAACATAATTGTAGGCGATCAGGTAGTTTCGTGAATCGAATGATATAATCATATATCATATATTATATATTATATATAATTGTTTTTTATCTATTTTTACTCTTTAGTGCGGGCCACGGCCGAAGATTAATCGTGGTGCGGGCATTTATTTTTTTTCCGAAATGCTGATATCGTCGATCGCCAATATTAATAACAAACCATACAATGTATAAAGTATAATACACCAAATTCACAGACATTGCTATTTATATTTTTCCAGAAATGAAATAACCTTATCATAACCACCATATAATCTTTAATTATGAAAATAGTTTTGATATAATAAATAGTAAAATTCGTTTTCAAATTGACGTAAATTGAAATTCACATAAAAATTATTTTGGACATCAATTAGGATGAACGTGGCGTCCCCCCGTTCCGGTGAAAAATATAGTTAGGGTACGCAAAAAAAAATGAAAAATAGTAGAGGAGCTCCGGTCCCCTGCGCACCCCTCCCCCCAATTCGAGCACTGCTAATAACAATTAACAATAAAACAGAATTTTGATTTTACCAGGTTAATTTTTTACGGGTTCACGGACTGAAGTTAAATTGTTATCAGTTGGACACGTGAGATATCACGTGCTCAATTATGCATACTATCGCTAAACGATCTAATCTACGAACTGATCTAAGTTCACGTTGCGCGTTCGAGATAAGATCGTTCGCAAATCACTACAATGATACATAAGCACACGTAATACGTAATGGGTCGTTTATGACCGAATCGTTCCTTTGGAACGAGTCTAGAACAGTGTAGTGAGCCGTTCTGCAAGAGGACGACGCAATACACCGTTGACGAATAAATACTTGAACGGTTCACGTCTGTGATGTAGAATCGTTGGAAGGTGTTTAAATGACACAACACGATGGTTTAAAGTTATACAGATATGTATAATAATGAATAAAATAAAATATATATAATATGTGGTTAATACAAATAAGATAGTAATTTATAATTGAAAGTGTGAGGACAGAGTAATTAAGCTCTGCCCGAGAATAATAAAGATTGACTCTCAGAGCTGGCGACGATGTGAGGCGCGCGGGCTTCACGACCAGATGAGCATCGTGCAGTAAGCGGAGTAATTAGTTAACACTAGTTTAGTGTTCATTCTACTATTCTAAATGTATGGGCAGTGGTTGAATTGGGGGGGGACGCAGAGGGTCTGAGCTACTCTTCATTTTTCTTCATATTATATCGTACCCCTTAATTTAATTCATCAAGGAACGCAGGGGACGCAGCGTCCTTCAACAATTATATGAATATGAATTTGTTTCTAAGAAAAATTAAATAAATATGAAAAAAAAATTGGAAACGATTAATATTTTATTTAATTTTTGGTATTAGTTCGTAATCTGTTCATTATTATTAGCACATATGTATATTAGGAACGCAATAATAAAATATATAATAATGTTATATAATTTATGTAACACGTTTCAAGTGTTTCCATTGCGTATTAATTCGTGGTATAAGCTGCTACATTGCTAAAAATATAACTATTACGAAAACTTCCCTGGGTGTACCGACGATAACGATCCTTAGTAAACCATTGACAATAATAATATATTGACTCCGTATTTTGAGAATCCGTCCGTTGTTTTAGTTATCGACGATTAACAAATGGTGATCGTTTTCAAGGAAAATTAAATATTATTTATATTTTATTTGGAAACGAGGTGCGCCACGAATGAGTAATCAGTATTATGTTAGCTTGTCGCGTACTCGCGTATGTAATTTATAAATTGTAATTTTGTTGAAAATAGTAAACACCTCAACCGCACTCCTACAGTCCTACATGTCACGTCAGCAATAAACAAATAAACATGAATAAACGTCAAAAATTGTCCATATCGGACTTTTTCAATAAAAAGAAAAACAATAACCAAGGTAATTAAAACACTTTAATTTAATAATAAATCATAGACGTGCGCAGATTCCTGTTACCGGTGTACTTTTATTTTTTTTTTGATAATCCACCCTCATAAATCCCGCCTTAAAAAAAAAAAAAGTAGAAATAAAATTTATTAGAAAAACTGATGTACAATCTGATTATCAATGAACGTCAGTCCCGGCTATTTTTATTTTTTTGTAATTTGATAAAATTTATAAAAAAAACTTGATTTTCCAAAAAAAGTTATTAGCCCTTTTTACTTAAGTACCTAGTACCTACCTAAAAAAAAAGTTAATAAATACAGTTAAAAGTTCCTTAAATTTTTTTGGTCATACATTTTAAAGCAATACATATACATAACTATGATAAAAATAATTATTATTTAACTCTCAGCAAATCTTAGTCCTAAAAATAATGTGACGGGATGAAATAAATTATTTGACTAATATTAAACTTCAAATATTAAAATTAATATTGACAAAAAAAAATTAATATACTAATTACAGAGTAACATTTATAATCTATAAATTTAATATTTACTTTTTGTAGGCAACAGTAAAATACATGAATTATTTTAAATTGAAAGTTTATTGATTAATTAATTTTATCATGTGGCTATATATTTACATTTTAGATTTTAAATTTGCTAGACGTGTTGCTGTGTTGATAGAATTAATACAAATAAATACCTATTAGTATTGTTTATTATTTGTTATAGATATCTGTGTTAATCATTAGATATATTTAATTATTTATATTGTAGATGCATTTAGGTGGTGGGGGGGACAAAGTCCCCCACGGTTTTTTTTTTAGATTAATTTGCTTTGGAACGCTAATTGTTCAGCTACATTTAGAGTCCACCTTTATTTTTTTTTCCAATTCAACCACTGTGTATGGGTACATGGATACCGTATTTATAGGCAGCCATTTAGGATAAGAGTAAGGCCGATGAGGAAGCTTGTTTCTGTGATATTGAAAATAGGCTCTGTTCCGTGGGAACTGCATATCAATACGAGTAAGTATTGATATTGGTTTCCGTTTCGGTTTTGCCACATTAGTATCAATACATGATATAATGTTAGCGGATGTTAGCTACCCGGTGGTTTACTACAGCAGGAACGAATCGGAACGATTCTTTTCAGGTGCATAGGTCCAAAATCAAATCGTTCCATATTCGTATCATGCACCAATTACGCGCTGTTCGTACGAGTCCAGAGAGCAGCGACTCGTTCCGATCGCACTTACTCGGTTCTTTTAGATGCAACGTTTCTACCAACCAATTGTTCTACATTTGTATTTTGTCCGATATGAGTATTATCACAGAATAATAGCAAGTTCAATGGCATAGTGACCGATGATGAACTTCGTGTTTCACAGATGTCGACTGCTCGAATACGCAACTACTCTCCCCATCATAGGCGGATATCAGGGGGGGGGGGGTTTGGTGAGGGCTTAGACCCCCCAAATATTTTAATAGCCACCTCAAAATTAAAACTTTGTTAGAAATTTATTCGTTGTTTTTATAATTTATTTATAATTATCTGTTCGATTTTTTGAAAATTGTAAAATAAGAAATAATAAAAACTATTTACAATAGCATTAACAATACCAATCATATAGTTTGGTTACTTGCGAAAGAAGTTCCAGTGCAATGAAAAAAATAAAAATTTGGCTAAGGACATTGTTGGTTCAAGATAGGTTCAGCAATCTTTCAATACTATATATTGAAAAAAATATATCGAAAAATATAAAAAGCGATGATATTTTATCTTTGAGTATCTTTGCTAATACAAATAGTTATTTGTCATTAAAATAAAATATTAATTATTTTTAATTATACGTTATTTAGTGTTTTTTTAGTACAATTTAAATATATCTATATTTTTAATAAAAGGTAATAAGTTTTACTTGTGTATGAGAAGGGGGTGTGGGGGCGAAGCCCCTGCGGGTTATTTTACATTGAATTATTATAGCCCCCCAAAAATTCAACCAAATGTCCGCCTATGCTAAAAAACCAAAAACACTTAAAAATAAGAGTTATACTATGCCTAAACTCAGATTTTACTGGTGGGAGTGGGTGGGTACCTCGAAATATATATTTTCGACACCTTTATCAAAAATCTTCTGTGCGCCACTGTTTACGGTGATTGATTCATTATTAATTCATTATTAACGATCAGTAATGTTAATTAAAAGTACCGAAAGGGACGATGGAACGAATTATTTGGAATCGTTCGTTTTGTGGACCTGCAACGAAAGGAACGATTCACTAAAAAGAACGAAACAACCCATCACCATAACACGTATTTACGTTGCGCGTACGTACGTTGGTGGTTACGTAACCGTCGACGGGAGGGGGCGGCGACCGTTCCCCGGGCAGCGGTCACACTGCGGCGGTTGCGGTTGATCAGCTGGTACAGAGGGCCGACGAATCGGACGGCGGTGGGGACGCGGAGACTACGTGCGACGTTCACGCACGCACGTCCGCTTGCATTTACGTCGCATTAATGCGTTGCGCCGTTCGGGAAATAATATTTCTTTTCTCTTCCACTCTTCCCCTCCCCTCGACGTAAACATACGATCGTCGCTCGTCAGAACGCGAAAATCCACTGCGCACCTCTCCGCAGCGGCGACACGCACGCACCGAACGCGACAATACAGTACATTGTTTTTAAATTCTTCTCTGCACTTCGATTTTCGTCCGTTTCGCTTTCGGACGACCTCTCGCTGCTCTTCACTCCGACGATAATAATATTTTTGTTGTTATTGTTGCTATTGTGAATTGTGTTCGTTCGCACGACGTCTTTTGTCCGGCAATCGAACAGCAATCGTATTTCATTAGAATAGAAGTCGTCCAACGATCGACGTAAGTAGTTCTGTTCGATATTAGTCATAATTACGAAACAATATTTTAATCATTAATAATCCATCATTTTCCTCCGCTATTCGATTGACGAAACTCCCAAACAAACGCGGTTCCCTCATTAATTAATCTCAATACATTGTTCTTATCTAATTTTCAACGAACCATTGTATGTCTCTTTATCGCAGATCCTGTTGGCGGCTGATTTAACTCGTAATCGCAGTCGGAACAGAGAACAATTACTATGGCGACCAGAAAGAAGGTGCTCTTGAAAGTGATCATTTTAGGTGACTCGAGTGTGGGTAAGACTTCGTTGATGAACCAATACGTCAACAAGAAGTTCACTAATCAATACAAGGCAACCATTGGTGCCGATTTCCTGACTAAAGAGGTTATGGTCGACGATCGTATAGTCACAATGCAGGTGAGACAATGTCTAAGAAGGTTTTGAATTGCATAACATACTTCTATCCTTTATGTATTAATCAAGGTCAATGGATATTTCTTTATTTCAATCTTAAGGTTAACAGCTTTACTATTTTTTGTTAATTTGTTAAAACAAATTGATATAATTTGTAATATTTGTTTTGACCTGTCATATGTAAACAATTATTATTATATGTCCATTAGAAACGCCCCCATTTCATTCTGGAATTTTATCATTTTTAATCATATCAACAATCTATACTTTGTTCTTATTGTACGATGGAAATGTTTTAATAATTTCATTGTAAGTAATTATAATGTCATGAAAGTAGTTTGATGACAATAAAATCTGTAGTCTATAGTTCAGTTACCTATTGCACTTAGGTTATATAAATCTTTTTTTCCCCTTTTTTTATTGAACATTAGAGTAATGAGATTAGATTAAACATACATATAAGAATTTAAGCAACTTAACTACTATGTAGAAAATATAAATATAAATTTAATTAAGTGAACCACAGAAATTCATAATGTAATGAATGATAGGAATGGGGCGACAGTTGAGTAGATTAGACTCGGAAGTGATATACGAAAGGAAAATAAGAATTAAAAACGGAATATCAAGTAAGAAGGTAGGAAGTACATTTAAAAATGATGTGGTTGAAATTGCAGATTGAATCCTCGTGAGATCCAGTGCAGAGTAAGGAAGAATTGAATGATAGTTTGAAAGAGTGGTGGGGGAAATTGGGTATTAATCTTTTACACATGTTTTGTTCTTTGTTGGTTAATAAATTACTAAAATCATATATTAGAATAATCTTTGTTATTTTGTATGGTATCATAAATAACATAGCAATTAAGAATTTCAGTTTTATTTAAAATATTTATTTGAAAGCTATTAAATTGTCAATATATTTTATAAATTATATTGTTGGTGCATAGTAAAATATAAATGGTTTTGTTTCATTGATTGGTAATAGGCTTGATGATGAGGTAACTATATTACAAAAACTTATTGTTCTATCTATTTAAACATAAATTTATTGGATTTAATATTTTATCTTACTCTTTTAAACATCAATAATTATTAATCAGTAGTTATTATTATTAATGAGCCTATTAAAAAACCCAAATTATCTCTTACTTGATTTTTACCTATTTCATACTTTTTAGTCTGCATGTCATGGTTGTAATGATTTATATTTTTACGTTTGTGTCTATTAAGAAATTCATAACTATTAATTAACCTGGTTTTAAAATTATTTTATTTTTGATAAAATATTAACTTAATTCTGTTTGTGTATATAAATTATGATTTAACACGAGTATATAAATATTTTAATAAAATGATAAAATATGTAGTTAAAATTAAACATTATTAAATGGTTAAAATTAATATAGAAATAAATAAATGCATGAAGTATTATTATATTTGTAAAGTTAAAAGTAAGCATTTTTCCATTGCATATATAATGATCCAGGCTAAGCATTTATTTATTTATTTATTTATTTATTTATTTGTTAAATATTTTAGCCATAATTATTTTAAAATAAATTAATATAAAACTTTTTCCTTTAGGTCTCAAGAAAATGACTTTTTCATTAGATGTTGTTAATTTCTAAATGTAATCAGTAATTAGTAATTGTCTAATAATTTTTACTATCAAAATTCATGTTTATTTTCATTAAATAACTAACCTTATTTTCAAGGAAAGAATTAATTTAAATATTCTAAAACTATATTTACTACGTATGCATTTTGTAAATAAGAAATATAATTATGAAAGATAGATTTGTATTTGTCTAAAGAACAATTTTAAGCAAGTTTCCAATGTTGTCAATCACGTAATTGGAGTTAGTGTACTAAAAATTGTATATTCATGATTATAAGATAGTTACATTTATATTTTTTATTATTGATTTATATATATTTATGTATGTGTATCTATAACATACATTTGATATTGTATAAGAATAAAAACATAAACCAATGTGTGTACATAATAAATATCAGTCCATTTAAGAATTAATAAATTCAAGCTGTTATAATTGTATTTATTTTTCATCAGATATCAGTATTAATGCTTTACATTTTTCCATTTGGTTTTATAAAAATAGACTATATTATTACTCTATAATTATATTATTATATTAGTATATTATAGTTACTTAATAAATATTTATTACATTTACTGTAAATTTTATTACTAATAGTTGGAAATCAAATTCATGTTTTGATAATTTATGAGTATCAATCAATGTACTAATCAAAACCAAAAGAAATTAAATTAAAAAAAAAAATGTTTTAAAAGTTAAATATTAAAAAAACACAAAAATAATGGATATTACATAATATTAGTAGTTTCATGTCAATCTGATAATAATGTATATGTTAATGTAAAATAATAAGTAAATCTCATATTAAAAGTTATTGTAAATTAGTGTGTTTAATTTAGTATTATGCTATATACTTGTAATTAGGTACATAGTTCAATTATGTTGAATATTAGAAAAAAATTTATAATTTTTAACGTTGATGTTTTAGATATGGGACACAGCTGGTCAAGAACGTTTTCAATCTTTAGGCGTTGCGTTTTATCGTGGTGCTGACTGTTGTGTGTTGGTATTTGATGTTACTTCTCCAGGATCATTTAAATCTCTAGATGGATGGCGTGACGAGTTTTTAATTCAAGCTTCGCCATCTGATCCAGATCATTTTCCATTTGTTGTCCTTGGCAACAAAGTTGATTTAGAAAATCGAGCTGTAAGTCTTTTAAAATTAATTTCAATATATAACAATATATATTATATATCAATTATGAACTTTTATCTATAGGTGTCCTCTAAAAGAGCTCAACAATGGTGCCAGAATAAGAATGGTTTACCATATTTTGAAACATCTGCTAAAGAGGCAATTAATGTTGAACAAGCATTCAAAACAATAGCAAGAAATGCATTAGCCCAGGAATCAGATGTTGAGCTTTATAATGAATTTCCTGATCAAATTAAATTGAGTGGAGGTTCTACAGAAAACCGATCCTCTGGTGGTGATAATTGTGCTTGCTAGTAATAGTAAACAATAAAGTCACTGGAATATTGCTGTCTATTATCAATATGCTCCTTGACTGAGATTCTAAGATTGGTCTCATTGTTATTGTCTTGAGTATAATAAATTATATATATATATATATAAAGTTGGAAAAAGAACATTATGCAATGCGTGGAGATAGTCTATTATTTAATATTTGAATTTAAGTTATAAATATATATTTTATTATTTTTGTTTCTACTTATATGTATGTCATTATTATCTACCCCTAATGTTTTTTTATAATTTTTTTTCCATCACTATTTCAACAAAAACTTAAGTATTTTGTTATAGTTATAAAATATCTTGTTTATAATTGTAATTGAAGAGGTACATGAGTATATTATTAATTTACGTATGTATGTATATTTTCATTATAAAAATCAATAAATATTTCTTCATTTAGTATACATTTTTACTTATAATATAAAAATTTGGAAAAAGATAATCACTGATTAATTTATATATAGAATCTATTACCAAACAAAATTGTTACAGTTAGTATTAACTAATAAAAAAAAAAATCAGCTATTTTAGACATTTTTACATCAATTGATTCCTGATTCGTTAAACTTTTTTCTATTAGTTTTATTTTTATATAACTAATGTTATTATTAATTTCTATGGTTTACCTAATTGTTCTATTTTTTACTTTAAGTGTAATTTTCTTTATTTTTGTTTTTATTATTGAATAAATTATTAATAACTTATTAAATATTTCATTGCCTTACCATTTTAGTTTTTAAAACAGATAAAATTGAAATTAAACTAGTTAAAATTGCCAGGGCAATACAAATAATTTTATTTTATGATTATGAATATAATTTTCTTTCCCATGTTAAGCTTGTTCTGAACCATTGGTTTAATTAAATTAATTAATTTTTATATGAAAAGATCTTAATTCATAAGATATGAAACTAACTATTGTGTAAAAATGTATTAAATTTTAATGTATTTGTTAAAAGTCCAGTTATATATTATTCCTCTATGAAACTATAGTTGTGTGTAACATCATTTTGAATTTCAAAAATAAATAGATGTAAAAAAATTGTCAGGTACCTACAGCCATTAATATTAAATATAACTTTTCTTTTTGTGATAATGTTAAATTTGATATATATTATGATGTATTGGTTGAATGATTTATAAATGAAATTTAAAATGAAAAACTGGTAATAATAAAAATAATTTTTTTAATCTGACCAATGTCTGATATAGTGTAACAAATATTTTTCTTTTTTGACTGTTAAACTTGAGTGTCAATAAATGGGATATTAATTTTAATGTAAATTATAAACTAATTACTAATTAAAATGCATATCATTACTATAAAATATAGAAACTCGAATAGTTCCATATTTATAAATAACTACAAATAATCATTTATCATGATTATTGGTTCATTGAAAAGACATAATTATTTAGCATTAATGGTGTCTACTGCAATGGAAAATAGCATTAGTTTTGATAAAGAATACATATTTTTGTAATTTTCTTTAATATTCAACTGAGTATGTGCATTAATAGTCCTCATATATACGCTATACATTTTATCCATTCTTTTGGTTGGTGTTAAGTGTATTGAAACATAAAAATAACAATTAAAGAAAGTTGATAAACGGTAAAGCATATATTTTAAATATATTTAACTACAAGAATTGTGTTACCCTAATACATTTATGTATATTACTTAATCTTAGATTAACTTATTCTTCATAACAATTATTCTTTATTCTTAATAACTAAAGACCAGATTTATATGTTTTTACATATCGTTACTTGATCTATGCAATTGTATGAGAGTAAAAAATGTGGACGATTCATTCAATTTTGAGTTTGTAGGAAAAAGTTTTTTTTTGCATATTTGAGAATATATCATAGGTTAGAGAATATTTAACCTATTTAGCATATTTTAGAATATTTGATTTTTTTTTCATAGTTGGAGATTGTACAAACTGTTATCTGCAAACTAACCAATATACCTGGTGAAACGGGTAACATAATAAAAATACTAAAGTGTCTCAATTAAGTTAAAAAAATAAAGGTTACCAGATGTTAGCAAAAGTTGGGAACATTTTATGTGGAAACAATGAAGATCCCCCAGAATATTTTACACCTAATGTAGTTGTTGACATGAAATTTGCACCTCTAATATCTGTTGATGTTGAACGTTCATTTAGTCTCTCTATAAACAAATTTTAAGCGATAGAAGAACTAACATGAGTACAGATAATATGTAAAATATATTATTGTTAATTCATATAATAAAATTTAAATAGTATTTCAAGTTTATTTTTTATTCTTCAGAAAGTAAATATTTACCATTGTATGCACCAAAGAAATATTGTTTTTTTTATACATACATAAATATATATATATATATATATACCTATATTGTTATTTTACATCTTATATTAAATTATTATTATTTAAAGATTACCTTTTGTTAACCAATTTTTTTTTGTTTTATTATATTTTAATATGTATGATTATTTGTTATTTTTAATATTGCGACAATAGTGTTAATACAACATTTAGTTAAAATATACCAAAGGAATATTGTTTTTAAATTTTAATACTGTACACCAGGGATCGCCAATTAGTCGATCGTTGTAAAATTTAATTTTACCACAATCGGTCGACCGCGTAAAATAATCAGATTAATTGGATAATGGGAATATTAGATTTAAAGATTATAGACCTACATTTTCCTGAATGTCAATCACTAGGGACTTAAATGTCAAATGTAGCTCAGTTGTTTGAAAACGTTGGTGACCCTTGCTATAGACTATACTGTAATATTTTTACTATATTCCTACTCTTACTGAAGTACAATAGTATTCTATTATAATACGCAACTACGTATATACTTCATGATTAAAAGAATGTTGTAAGAAAAAATTTTTTTTTTTAAAATGTATATTAAACCATATATTGATGTTGATTATTTTTGAATAATTTCAAATATTTTTACATATTTTTAAGATTTTTAAGAGAATATAATAAGAATATTTGAAGGATTTTTAGAGAATATAAATCCGGTCTTTATTCATAACTAAAGATGAGAAGTTGTAAAAATTGCATATTTTTTTCAATGTTTTCTATTTAAAACTAGGTGAGTTAAAAATCTTACCTAACCTAGTGAGTTTATATATGTTCAATACCAATGCAACTATTTGGAGGTATAAAAAAAAAAACGTTAAAAGCCATATATTTAATTTAAACTAAAACTTAAACATAAACTCGCCCTATAATTTTCAGCTTAATCGTTAAGTTTAACAGTTTACAAAAACTACTCACGATAGACTTCAGTATTCTATAATAATTTCATTGCATTTATAAGTATCAGAATTGATTATATAATATACAGAAAAGCCATCCTATAGTTCAGTGGCACAGTATAGATAATATTGGCAGCGGCTAAGTGCATTCGGCCCAAGGACGTATCATTCTAGGGGGAGGGGGACTCAAATATTTTTCTTTAATTCAAGCTCAAAATTTACAAGTACAATTTTTGGTAATATTTAAATCAGGTGAATCCGTAATAAATGGAGTTTTTCTTTTTTTAATCTAATGCCGGTTCCACTTATAATCGAATTTTGTGTAGTTCTTGTTTAACATCTGTCTGTGTTTTGAAAGTTACGTTTGTGTTTTATTTGATTTTTCATTAAATATGAACCCGACAAAAAGCCCAATTCAGTATTCACAGCCACGCGTAATTTGATTTCATTATAAAATTATCTAAATTAAAAAAAATTTGAAATGTGTATCTCACATATAATCAACTCCTTAAATACGAATTCAGGGGGGGTCGTCCCTTCGCCCCCCCCTAAAATACGCTCCTGCCAACCACAATATCGAGTCCTTAATAACGTAATTATTAAGGACTCGATATTGTCGTTTGACATATTAACGTGCAGAGACGTGCCCGTTTGTGTGCTATGTTATTTCGAATTTGTTTGCCATGTGTGGAATTCAAACTTGTAAGGTTATCTTAAGATCTAAGATGTTTTTCGGTGAAAAACATCGCGCACTGTAGAGTAAAAGAGGTTCACGCACTCGTGTGTGTGTGTGTGTGTGTGTCTGAGTGCGCACAGTTAAGATTGAAATCTTCAAATGAGAACTTCTACAAAATAAATAAGAATTTAAGGTAACTAAAATTTTTTTATAAAAATCCGTTTTTAGCGACTTTTCGTTATCGCTTTATTGCTTATCGGCCTTTCTCCACACCGATGGCTATATTATTATATATAAAGTATACATATGATATAAAACTCTACGAATTTACACGACTAAAATATCGCTACGTATTTTCTTAGTAAGGTGTATTATTTTATGACCCTCGTAGTCTCGTGTCAATACAAAATAATACACGACAAACTAACTAAATTAAATATTTTATTTTATAAGTTATAATTATAATGGCTTTACAATTTACAAGTGGTGCTGCGAAACGCAAAATAAAAAAAAAACAAATAGAAGGATGTATTATATGGATAACGAAAATTGATACATTTTTCAAACAACACCATGAAGAAACAAAAAAAGAGTGAGCTATTGATGAACGAGGTATTTCGTCAAATAAAATTAATGCTGTTAGTAATTCCATAATCTATATATATAATAAATGTAATGTATTAAAAGTTCTTCAGTCTGCAGTGATTTTTTTTACTTCAGCAGAAGAACAATTTAAAATTATTATATTTTATTTAACATTGGATAATTTAATAATATCATCAAAAGAACCTTTTACCAGTTTAAATAACATTAATTCTGATTTATCTAATGCTCTTGCTGGTCAAATTAGTTTCCTTATTTTATACATAATTTAAATTTCAATAAAAAAGGATAGTACCCAGATCTAGATTTTTATAAGATTTTATTATTTTAGAATAAAAATACTTACTTTAAATTTGAATTTATATAACTATAATTATAATATTTTGAATTAAAATGTGAAGGGTTCTTTTTTTACTTTTGTACATTGGCCCATATTTGGGATGAACCACCGCTGTATATTCAATATAATATTTACAATATACATAGTCACCAAATGTGTACCGATAAATATAGACATGTTTCTATTTTTAAATATTAATTACATGCTAGTATTAGTCAACTTAATTTAGTTGAATAAGAATTGTTCAAAATGTTGTTCAAAATCAAATAATTTGCTAAATTATTATAAGTATATTTTAAGT